TGTTAAGGGGGACGCACCAAGCGAGTCTGGCAACCAGGACGCCCAGTCGACGTCCAGCGAGCTGCTGGACCTGCTCCTGCAGGAGGACGCCAGGTCAGGAACCGGATCCAATGCTTCAGGATCTGGATCAGGGGAATCTGGAGGGTCGCTGGGATCTGGATCCGGCTCCGGCTCCAACGAGACGTCCACCTCACACACCGGTACAAATGGCATCACACTCCATCGTCTTTTTAAAGTTCCTTTGTGAGCATTTTTGCTACTTATAGCTTTAAATTGCAGGCTTGTTTCTAAAATGGATAAATATGTGGGAGGCTAGGCACAAGGCAGCAAAGAAAGTGATTAGATATGAAACTAAACTTGAACATCAGTGCCTAACACAGTTACTCCCGTCAAAGAAGAAAGCATAATCTACTGTTTAATGTACTTCATAAAGCCAATTTTTATTCAATGAGGAGATTGGTTGTTTGAGAGATGTTAGCTTTCCAAATCCATGCTGCCTGCAATTCACCACAGTGGTGAAGGAGCGCTTGTGCTTGTAGAATAGTAAATCAAGTAAACTTAAATACACTCAGCATTTCAGATAAATTAATTTCTGCTCCAGCTCAGATCAAACGTTGTTTACAACTCTCCCTTGAGTGCCATTTTTGCTCAGTCTTGTTCTTCTCTTCTGTCCCCAGGTTGTCTCCATTTGTAAATAAAGACCGATGTGGTTTACTGTAGTCACAGAGTCTTATGAAGTAGCTTTGTGACCCTTTCCAGACTGCGGGATGTCCATTACTAAACTCATCTTTCCTTCATCAGACTTCGTAGTGTCATTAAGCAGGATAATATCTGTAAGTTATGTCTTGAGCCCAGAGTGATGCAAAATATTCTGGCCTACAGGCAGCAGCCACAGCAGCAAGTACTTTGCCAGTAATGACTCGTCAGACACGTCCCGCAAAGCCCGCAAGAGCCAGGAGGCGTCGGTGGAGCGGCCGCACAGCTTTGAAACTCAGGTGGAGAGCTCCCTGTGGAGCATGATCCAGCACACGCCTGAGCAGGTCATGATGACCTACCAGATACACACAAGGTAAACGTCAGACTTTTATATAGTTTATATGTGATATGTAGTTTAAAGATGCACCGCTGAGTTTTTGACATGGCTTCAGTCAATCTTAGTTTAAAGAGCTATAATTTTCAGCATTCATAATATTTTTTTTTTTTTTTACTCTGAGCTCGTAATGTCTGTTTTATTTGGAGTAAATTTGGCATCACATCTTGTATGAGAGAGAGAGAGTAAATGCTGTAAAACAGGGCTTAAAAATAGCTAAGACAAATTGATAGCAGAGTTGACATTTAAGCTGATTTTAGCTTCTGATGCTGTCCAGTGGTGTGGTTAGTGTCACTACCTGGAAAACAAAAGTGTGTTTGTATACAGGAGCTTCAACAATGGAGCAAGAGGAGCAGCAAATCCACTGTTTTGTAAAGTTGGGGAGCAACTTGCATTTTTGCTCCTTTTTTATTATTATTTTTTAATTAAACCTAGAAGTAAACTTTGTAATAGGCTCACAAACTTCTATTGTCATTAAATGCCTCATAAAGTCAGGCTTACATTAAGACCAATTTGCTTTATACTTAGCCAATTAAATCTCAGTAGGATTTTTTTTTTTTTACTGAATGATGACTAAAATTACACCAATCAATCAGCTCTCCGTTCCCTGATTCACTGACGCAAATACTGAAAAATCTGTGGGTGGAAGACTTCCCTATTTTTTTTTAAAGGCATCAAAGACTTCCCACCATTTTTGAGTCTATAAATGCGTTAATCCACATCATTTACTTTTATGTGCTTTGTTTAAAAAAAGAAATCCTAGCGTAGGGTTAGGGACATATACTTTGAGGCATAAATGGGGACGAATGTAAAAAATTTTATGAGGGAAGTACATTTCTTCTCTTATATTTTTCATTACCCTTAAAGTCTCGGGTCTAAAAAACTCTTAGTCAGGTCAAAGAAAAAACTGTTTTGGTATCGGCTAGGAAAAGCCGGATCAGTGCATCCTTAACGTAGTATGATCTTTGTCCTGTACAGGGATCAGAATGAAGTGCTGGCAGAAGACAGAGAAAAGCTGCGAGGGCTTCAGCCGCTCCAGCCGTGGTTCAGCCAGGAGCAGAAAGAAGAGCTGGCCAAGGTCCATCCTTGGATCAAGCAGCACACCATCCCACAGCAATTAGACACACAGGTAGCGCAGAGCTCCTAAATTACCGCCGGTCCTCTCCGTCTTCACGTTGAGTCCATGTGAAATGCATCCTTCTGTCTCCCTCTCAGGGCTGCGTGAGCTGCAACTCGGGGGCCGGCCTGGCCCGCTCCCCTCAGCCAGCCGTCTCAGAGAGTTTATTACCCGCGGAGAGCCTTCAGCAGGACTCCATCGAACCTGTGGCTGACGCCTTGAACGGCTGCCAGTGAACCAGGCCTGCCAGAAACTTCAGAAATACTCTCGGTGCATCTCTTCTCAACACTCCACGGAAACGGATCCTATGGCTTTAATATATCGTTAACTGGTTTTGTACAGACGAGGCGAGGGTCATAAACGGTGGAGGAGAGCAGAGAGAGAGAGAGACATGCTACTGGCCTCTGGGTGGATTGTACGTCTCTTCTTTTTCTGTTAATCAAGCCCCTGGAGGGATTTGTGTGATAGTAATGACTCTACAGACCTTTTCTCAGTAAGCCACCTGGTGCTCAGTGTATAAAGAGAAAAAAAACAAGGTTTGAGCCCTGTGTAAAGACCTGCACTACCTTTGTCGCACAAACATGACTGAGAAAACCGAAACGACTTGGATCAAGAACACCCAGCAAACTTTTCTCCAGTGACGCCAACTCCAGGTTGTACAGATTTTCTGAACCTCATCAACACAGCAGCGACCAACCATGAGCAGCATCTTTTTACCCGATGGACACAAAGACATGTTTGCTGCTCTTGGTTGTTTATAACGTTCAGGTAAAAAAAAAAAAAAAATCCTACATGTTGTTATTGTAATGTTATAATCTCATATCCCGTAGCCTGGTTTCCCAATGTCCAGATCATTCTTTTGTTGTGTTGTGTACTGTAATGTTGACTCAAGAAACAACAGCCAACCAGTTGATATTTTCAAACGAACGTCACCCCACCTAGCGGATCCTCCTTCTGCTCAGCCATCAGCCTGTTTGTACCTGTAGTCCAGCTGTGTTGCTGTGAAGAGGCTCCACGCAGCACCAGATTTTTCCACTCGTCTCACTTTTACCAACTAAAGAAGTTTTCCGGTCAGACCGCGCGGTAGAAACAGAGAGGAAACTGACCAATTCTGAGTTTTCCAAATGAGGATAGCGGGTGCGAACGCCTTGACTTGTCTGCTTCCTTTGAAACACTTGTCCTACAGCGCAAGACAGAGCAGGGTTCGTTTCATTTTTGGATCAAAAAATACATGCCAGTACTGTGTGTTTTATAGAAAATGTACACAATTACCTAATACAAAGTGTATAAAAAGCCATTTGTCTTGAATTCAGGGATTGTTTGTGACACAAAAGAATGAATAAATGATCTATGAACTGAGAATCATCTGGGCGTGGCTTCTTTTAGTGCTTAGCATGTAGTACAGCTTTTATATTTTCTTTTTCTCTGTCCGTATGTGTGTGTGTGTGTGTGTGTCCCGTCTTGGTATCTCAGATGTATGATATGGAGGAGCTGGTTGCCTTACATGTGGCATGGCAGTTTTGCTTTTCAAAAAGAATATATCAAGATGGTGTCGTAACTATGTGATTGATCAGTAAAGCTGCTGTGGGCAACTTAAAATTAGTTTTTTTACATATTTCTTACAACTACCAGTGGACTATGTCATGACGGCATAACCAAAAATTTGTGGAAAAAATTTAAAGTTTCCCTGCTTCCTCCCCCTGTGATTTTACAGCTATATACAGAAATGCACAGCTCTGTCACAAACAACAAATCAGAGAAAGGAGGGGAGTGTTACTGCTGTCAATCATCCTCGTGTACGCACTTCTTCAGTACAACATTGTATTTCATAGGTAATGTCAGCACAAAGCTTATTTGTGCTTTAACAAATAAAAAATCTCAAAAGTTTGGCATGCCCTTGTATTTCATTGCATTTGAAACGCATGACTTAAGCGTTACTTTGACTGAACCGTTCTGTCACAAGCGGCTGCAGCTTAAAGGTAATCTCAGTTTGAAGACTTTTGAGACCTCTTACAGGGTGTTCTCCAGGATTTCCCTCTATTTCGCTATGTCTTCCCATGCCACTGCTGAGCCTCACCAGCATGACGCCACCACCACTGTGTTTCATGCTTGCATTTGGGCTAAAGGCTTGGATTCGGCGTAAACTGCAAATGAGACTTTGTGTGGTTTACTTTAAACACCAGCTTTTGTTCTTGCCTACTTTGCATTAATGCCAGATATGTGGATTGAATAACTAATAATTATGTTATCGAGTTGCTTTGTGATCTGATTTAAACATCACTTAATTTTTTCCCCCCCGCCCTGTCTGCTATGTTCCTCAGTCTTCATGATGCTGTTTATTCACTAATATTCTCAAAAAACAAAAAATGAACAAAAAAAAAAAAAAAAAAAAAAAACTGAGGAACTCAAAAAACTTCAAAGGGCCTCAAAACAGATTCATACTGATATTAAATTGCTCTTTCACTCAGGTGATTTCTGAAGGTAGTTTTCATTTAGTGTAACTGGAGTAAAAGTCACAAAAAAACCCAAAACTTTTTTCTGATTTTTTTTTTCCGTTCGGAGAGAAAATTGACGACTCAAGCCTTCAATTTTGCTTCCACAACCCATTGATGCGCTAGTTTGCGTTACAACACACAAATCCCACTTGCGTGTTTTCCGACGCTATATAAAATATACACTTTGTCTAGAAATTTTATACGTGAAATCTTTGAATTGCGGAGAGACCAACGCGCACAATGAGTTTCAAAATATTGCATAGTGAATAGACATTACCAAGAAATAAAGTACCGAATGTAAAATTCCTCATTTATTTATTCCTTGAATGTACGAGCATTAAAGTGCAGCAGCACAAACGACATTCATTATAGACGGCACTAAACCGAACAAAGAAAAAGCTGGTTTACATCATTTTAGCAAAAAGAAAAAAAAAGTATCTGTTGTCCCACTGGGATGGATGTTAGTACTCATGCTGCCCCACTAGGGGGAGCCCATGACCAGGGACTAAAACTGTACAAAGTAAAACTAAAGTGTGTCTTTATGACATCTAAAATGATTAATTAACGCAGAATGCTTAAAGCACAGCAAGATGCCATGATACAAGACGAGAATAAACATTCAACAATCAGACAAACGGAAGAGTCTGCTGTTAGAAGAAGAAGCCTCTGCTCATTGGTTTCTCTTGTCCACCTTCAATTTATAGCTGTGGATAAATGGAGTAATTTATGTTTGATATTTAAAGAGTTAGTGACAAAGCAGTGGCGTTAAGCGTAAAACTGCTCTTATTTTTGAATCTTTAAAAGAGAAGTCGATGAAAATTGTTGTGCAGCGTACATTTGTGACACTCCAGCAATGCTTCAGTCCGTCTAACTTCGTTAAGCGACGTAAAGAACAAAGCAAAAGTTTAAGAACAGAAGCATCTTGAAACGAGACCTGCTTACCATTCAGCTTATCTACATGCTTTCTTTACGTACCATTTAGGGCTCGATTTGCACCGTGTCTTCACTGAAACTCACCATAATTAAAAAGAACGTCTTTTTTTGTGCCGAAACACGGCAGGTCTGTAGCAAAGTTTTTTTGTTTTGTTTTTTTTTTTGTTCCAGTGATGGCAAAACCCAATGAAAAAAAAAATCCAGCTTGGTTTCCTCTGGCTACGACAGAGGGTAATGTGGATGTGTTTTTGTCTAGAGAAAATGCAGCCTCTGGACCCGCCAGTGACTCAGATTTCGCTTCTGTCTCACTTTGAAAACTTCTGGATCTCTGCAGGAAGCAAAACAAAACCAGGGTTAGGGGGGACTACAAAGGGGGGATTCAAGATGATTCACTTGGGAGAGCGTCAGCATACCTTTGTCAAGATCAATGACTTTTGGCTGGGCCTTCATCAGGGTGTTTTCTTTTAGCAGGTTGTTCTTGTATTCTAAACAAAGGGAGTTATGAAGTTTTATGCCCTGTGAGAGGACTGTTTCTAATACACTCCCTAGGTCCACCTTCACAGTTGTAGTTTTTAACGGCAAACTATGAAAGTTGTGCACAAAAAAAAAAGTCCCTCACTTCTCCACTCAGTGCTCCAAAGGATGCCAAAGAACAAGACGCCGTAAGCTTACCAAATCCTTTCTCCTCTCGAGTGAATGTGTCCACCTCACCGATGTCTATCTCATACTCATCTGAGCTGCTGGGACTTCTGCTGGACCTGTCACCGCGAGAAAACATCAGACTCGGAGTCAAAGATACAGATAGCAAAAGTAACATTTTATTTATTACGTTTTTATTGGGATTTTACTTTAACACAGTCATCCATAATTGCAAAATGGAAAGAAGCATGCCTTGATCGTTTTTTTGTTTGTTTTTTTTTTACAAATACAACACTTTTCGGAGTTTTCTTCCATTTCACAGTAATGTCTTATTAAGCACTTACCTAACAGAAACTTTGGGAGAGAAATCTAAAATAATAACAAAAAAAAAAAAAGAAAACATTTTATAAGAACATGAAGTTTTAAGTGACTAAAAGAGAATCAGTTTGACAGACGTTAGATCAGACCTTTGGCTTTACGTCGTTTCATGACGAGGACGACAACGAGCGTAAAGGACGCCAGAAGCAGGAAGGAGGCGAGGACGTAGACGAGCGGCAGGAGAAAGTGGTGTTTTTGGTCTGGCAGGATGAAGTTGATGACTTGCGGTGCGTCAGCTTTACTGGTGTCTGAGTGTTACACGGTGAGAAAATGTCAGCTGGTTCTACTTGCATTTAACAAGCTAGCAGCAATCTTTGCAGATGAATCTCATATAAAGACTCATTGATTTTTTTTTTTGCCTTTGTTTTTGTTTTCTTCCGCAGAAGGAAAAGAACTTTCAAATTTCAAGTTAGCACACGTACCTTTTCATTGTGAATTCCCATAATGCCTTGCAAAATTATTTCTATTCCATGTTACAACTACAAACTGATGTATTTTATCTGACAGACCAAAAAATAAAATAAAATAAAATAAAAAATTGTGCAATTTGAGAAATGGAAGGAAAAGGATCTAAGGCAGGGGTGTCAAACTCCAGTCCTCAAGGGCCTCTGTCCTGCAACTTTTAGATGTGCCTCTGCTGCACCACACCTGAAAAGCATAATTAGGTCATTAGCAAGGCTCAGGAGAACCGATCTGCACAGGGAGGAGGTAATTAAGCCATTTCATTCCACTGTTTTTTACCCGTGGCACATCTAAACACTGCAGGACAGCGGCCCTTGAGGACTGGAGTTTGACACCCCTGATCTAAGGTGAAGTAGGACTTGAAATCAAATTAAATCACAAACAGGACGACTATTAGTATTTACTACTAATTAAGTGAGTAGTGACGGATCTGGATTTTAATTATTGGTTAAGAGTAAAAAAAAAAAAGGCTGGAAGATAAATGAATATCACACTTCAAAATTTGTAAAATGCAAACTGAAAGCACAAAAAAGGATGTGAAGAGTTTTCACTCAGCAGACATCACTGCGCTATGTGAGGTTCTGCTGGGCGTTGGGAAGCAGAGGCTAAAGAAAGGGCCTGGTTTCAATTAGCTTCTCAAAAAAAAAAGTGTAAATCAGGAAGCAGCTGTGGACCTCAGACTCAACATACGCGAGTCAAAATCAGATCCAGACTGGTGTAACACTGTGATTTATTTTTCCTGGCAGTAAAACATAAAATAAGCACAAAAAAAAGGCAAGAGGGGTGAATAAACGAGAGAGCATGAGTGGGAGGAGAGAGTGGGAAATCTCTTCAGAGACGACCTCGCCCCAACATCCCCAAACCCAGATTGTCTGTGCTGTACTGCACTTAAAACTAATACAAGTCGTCTGACCTTTCCATTGAGTTTCACAATGGTTTTGCAAACATAAGGACATGAGCTGGGTAGTCGGGCCTTAAACGTACGAGGAGGAAGTGCAGACGGGAGGATCAGACGGATAACACGATCCGATCTTCCAAGTTTAAACTTCAAAACTCAGCGCATTTGGTTCATCAAAGGAATGGAACTGGGCAGAGGAAAGATAAAAGTGGAAAAAAGGAAGAGGGGAAACTTTTTGCAGAATGCAAAGGGTGAGCCAAAGTATACACTGCACCAGAGAAACTACGGCAAAGCAGTTTAGATCCCACAACTTTGTGACAGACCGCTGAAGAAGACAAACTCACTACTGGAGATAAATCATTGGGATAAAATATGTTTAATTCCCGAGAAGGAATCCTTGATGTTCAGTCGCAGCTCGGGAAGAGAGGTGGATTATTTTTGCGGATGTAGCTGGACATCAGTCAGAAGATTCCACTGAAATGAGATCAGCCATCTTGGCATGCTCTTATAAACACACAGGAGCTGGCTCACACAGGCGCACGTAGGCAGCTGCGAGCAAAGAGTTTTTAATTTTTTTTACTCTTTGATACGTCTGCTCCTGAAAGTTTAGACCTCCTGGAAACATAGACAGTTCTTTGAACACTGAAACATTTTCATTGTCAAAGAAATGCAACGAAGGAAGCTGTCGAGACACAAATCCATAAAAGTCCACGCAGCAAATCGTGAAGACAAGTGTGTGAAGCATCCACTGTGAAAGAGAAGCTTTGTGAGTTAGGATGCGGTACAACACGAGTGAATATAGCGTCAGGAGTTTAATGTTAGGCCAAAAAAAAAAGGAAAAAAAGAGAAATATTTCCCTCTAGAAACACAAAACCTCAGAAAAAAAAGTTGAATTCTTCCTCTGCTGCTTTGTTGTTTGGAAAGTCCGAGAGGAGATAGAGAATCGAGAGTGAAGGAAAGACCAGATGTACGCGCGTATAATGCCTCCGTTGGGTTAAGCGCTAAAACATCTGGTCTGCTTGGGGGGCAGGGACTGACCTATAAAAATCTGGAGACAGAAGATAGATTTGTTACCTTTGTCTCGGGGAAGTGTTACGACCGGCTGAGTGCTCCGAATCAGAGGGGCCTCCACCGTGACTCGAAACTCTCTCCGCTCGTGCAGGCCGCAGTAATGATGGTGAAGGTGACAGGAATATGTCCCCTGGTCTGTAAGCTGTCACAACACACACAGACAAAATAAACTGCAAACAACGTAAAACAGGCACAGAGATCAACGGACCTCAGGTGTGTGAGGCAGACGCCTTGTCTAGTTTGAGGGATAAGCTGAAAACGTTTCATTTTGATTAAACTCAAAGCTAAAGTTGCTGAGGCCTTGTCCTATAGTATGATAGGACAAGACCTATCATACTAATTAGTACTACTAATACTAATTAGTATGATAGGTAATGATAATAGGCCTATCTGATTAGGCCTATTATCATGACCTCCATTACCATTTTTGTCCACTGATCTTCATCTATGAAATTTTTGCAATAACTCCTGCCATTACCTTTGGGTTCCCCTTGAGTTGATTTTTTTGTACTTGTACGGCCCAGTGCTTATGTATTTGACTGTGTTTTCCTGAGGTGACTGACTAGTTTAGCTGCCATTACAGTGACTTTGTTTAGCACAAAGTGTTTCAAATGTCCTTTTCACAGAGAGAGCCATCAAATGACCTGTTGTTACCATTAACTATGTGTATTGATGACTTATGGTCAGTGATCCTGTGTTTAGGTGTGTGGTTGCCCTGGACAAAAGGTTAATGAAGCTATTTCTCCCATTAACTATGTATTATCTATTTGTTTTTACATTCATAGAAAGTATCCCTGGCTCAACACCTTTATTTTTAGCTTCGTCTCCTTTCAGGACAGCTATTGTTGCTACTACCTACATTTATACAGTTTTCAATATTTACACTATTATAAATTGGCATTAAATGATCATCTGAACTGAACAGGTTCGTCTTGTAAGGTTCGCTGAGATGACATTTGTTTTAAATCACTTAGACTTTAATGAATTGAACAGAACTAAATTGTGTCACCACATTTCTTAATCTTTGTTTATTCCTTATGGAGAGGTGCAAATTAACCAATTAAAGCTCATTCTATGACTCATCGCTTTATTTTATCGCCATGAGATTTTAAGATTTCCTAGCTTGCAGCCAGAAACCTTCCTCTACTTGCTGTTGTAGCAACTCCTGATCCACGACTTTATTCACCCGAGTGCTCACCATGTTGTGGTTGCATGCTCCCAGCTTCTCTGCACAAGGCTGCACAAGGGCTCACAAGGGCTCAACATTTCAGCTTGTGATTGTTCTAATCGAGTGTGCACTCCCGGCCGTAGCAAGAACACACGCTTGATTTGTTTCTCACCTCGACACACACATGCATACCTGCAGGTCTGTTATTGTTAGAGAGAAGTCACCCTCTGCGAAGGCCTTGTTGCTGATGTTCATCTTCCTCTGCAGGAACAGAGGCCCGTAGCTGCGCTGCTCCCCAGAGGCGTACAGGTCCACCAGCCGATCGGCACTGTCATGCTGGACTCCCGGGGACTGACGGTCCCAGTGGACAACCTGGTCATGTTGTACAACCCGCCGTCAACGGGATGCAGTAGCACAACAACGACAGCAGATCTGCGTGAACCTTGTTTATCCACTCGCCTGCTGGTCCTCCTCCTCGTCGCTCCAGTCTGTCCAGACGCTGCGCCGGTTGATGCAGGGCAACACAGCGGTGGTCCCCTGCAGAACCACGTACACCGCTTTCTGTCCGTCCCAGAAGCGCTGCTGCTTGCGTTCTTCGGGGTGAAAAGATAAGACATGAAAGAGGATTCTTATAGAGGACCCACTGCTGTGAACCATAAGTCAGTACGACACAGAGAGCCGTACTTGATTTGGTCACGTTGAGCTGAACTCTGACTGTTTCGTGCAGGTGGCAGTAGAGATGGTGGAGGTTGCAGGAGTACAGGCCTCTGTCGTTCATCCTCACGTCTGCAAACGAGGTACAGTTACGGTGAGACGGCCGTCGCACCGAGAAGCAGGAAATGAATTGTTGCCTTTTTAAAATCGTTTTTAAATGTTTGAGAACGTCTGACAAACTTTATTACGACAATAAACATGACACGAGTTAATGACCTACTTAGGCATGTAAGAGTTCCTAAATTCAATGGAGTAACAGGCACATAATAGACAACAGCTCAAAGAAGCAATTTAAACTGGATTTTTAAAAACTTTTTTGTGACCTATCATAAGTACAGTTTTGTTTCCATCTGTTGAGTTTAACCTCAGAAATGGGACCAAATGTAGAACAGTTTGACAGACATAAAATACAATTTTAGGAGTTTAGGGCAAGTTATCAGATTTAGCTGATAACTAGACAAATGAAGAGCTGAAGAACGATGAAGAGGTCCTCTCTTCAGTTTTTTTCAGAAACACTCCCCCCCCAGTAAAGGAGTAGGAAAAAATAGAACATAGAGTCAAATCATTGACCTTTGATGACCAGTGAGAAGTTCCCATCCTTGAAGGCTGTTGGGTTGAGGCTGACCCTTCTCAGATTGTGGGTGTGGTACAGCCTCTGGTCTCCAGCCGGGAACATGTCCACCACTCTCTCCATGGCAAAGTCCGGGGCATCCCGATACATGTCCCAGTGGACCACCCTCTGTCTGTCCCGTGCCCTGTCCCTAGTCCACACCATGCGGCCACTCATGCACTGCAGTACCAGGTTGGACCCAGCGGGGCCGCTGACGTTGTAGCCGGCCACCACCACACTGCTGCTGCTGTCAGACTGACAGGACACTGGAAGAGAGAGCAGAATGTCTTCAGCGCTTCCCCCAGAGGAGGAAAAGCAGAGATGTAAATCACAGCTGCGCACACACACACACACACACAAATGTTTAGGTGACTATATTTGTGGGGACTTGCCAATGACTTCCATTCATTTCTACAGCCTAAACCTTACCTTTACCCTTTTCCTAACCCTAACCAAAACTCAATTCATACCTTAGCCCTAAATCTGACCCCTGACCCAAAAACAGGGTTCCCCCTTGTGGGGATCAGGCTCTGGTCCCCACAAGGAGCAATTGGTCCCCACAATGTAGTATATGTCAGGAAAATAATCCCCACAAGGTATTACAAACAAACGCGCACACACACACCTATACAGATATATGTGGTTTAGCCTGCCTTTTTCGCCAAACAGGCCTGGCGGTGGTTTAGATGGACTACCCTTTCCCAAATAGCTAGAGCAACAGGAGATGGCTTAAAACACTGCAACAAATCTGAAGAAAATTTAGCTCACTTTAGGTTTCAGATAGCAGCTACACAGCCTGTGTTTCAGCAATCTGACCACATGGTGGGTTATATGGACATCAGCAAATTGTGGTTTATGAGAACAAAATAAAGTAATGTGAGAACTTTAAAGGGACAACTATGTCATATTTAAAAACCTGCTGATTAGCATAAACACACAACCTGACAGCATAAAGCATTAACAGAACATAATTTTATTAGGTAAATATGACCAAATAATTCAATAATTTTTCTTTAAAAAATAAAAGTAAACCTGGAATTGAAATGACCAAAGGGGGGAAAAAAAAAATCTAATTTAAGTGCCGCAACAAAACATACAGAAAAGTACAATAAGGGTGCAGATTGTTACCAAGTATTCTGAATATAAATAAATAAGTAAAACAATGTTAAATTAAAATTCTGCCACTTTTTCCATTATTTTTTTTATGCTGGACAACAGAAACATGCCTCACCATTAGAAAAAAAGCTTTTCTGCCTATTAACATGACTACATGAAAACAGCCTCTACATCATGGGACTTTACAGATAATATTTGATAGGCAACAAAAAAAAATCAGTTTTAGTAGCATGAACAAAACAGAACCCTTTTGAATAAATGATTACTTAACATAAAATCTAGAGCTTTTTCTTTTGTGCCTGCCTTTTAGCAGTTATTCCACGGTTTCTCACAAAGTCCCTGATATTTTGTGCTGTTCTTTGAGCCAGCATAGGATCTTTAACCAACTTGCAGTGATTGCACTCATTTTTAGTGGCAAGTTTTCCTTTACCTATATGAGCTTTAAAATGCCTCATGTCTATCGGTCTGCCATGGCAAAGGGTTTTGTGTAATGCCAACACACAGAGCAAGAAAAGGCAGAATAGAAGTGGTTGGAGCAATTTTTCCTTTATTTATCCATTTGAATTTTGTTACTTTATTCTTAAATTTCTATTTTTTGTATGATTTACAGAGTTTTTGTAGGTTGATAATTGTTGATTTTATTTATTTTTTGTTTTATTATTTTTCTTATTTATTTTCTAAATTTAGACAGGAAGTAATGTGGGTCAGTCCACTTTCTATAAGTGCAGGGGCCTGGTGAAGGACCAGCAGGCATTTGGGTTTGGAGCCGATGGTTTTTACCAGAGCAAGAGTGGTAGCATGAGAACAAATGAAAGTTTGACCTCTGTAATTGTTTGGTTAAAGAGGAAAATAAATCATCAAGATCAATCAATAAGTTTGGACATTGAACCTGGTTTTGCCCGTGTTGAGAAACATGACCCCAGTGCCTTAGTAGTGGCTTGGTGGAACTTTTATTGGATGTTTGGCTTGGCAAACAATCAGAAGTGGTTCTGTCTAGTTTGGTTCTTCATCTGTTTATCAGCTTTATTGTAGCGCACTGCAGCTGCTGCAATTCCTAAAAACAAGCGACAAAAACTGAGCTAATCCCCTGTGTTCTCAAAAAGTGGTGATATTTATAACAGTCGTCAAACTACGGCTTCTACAGCATATTTAAAATAAAACAATGGACCAATATAAATAGAAATTCGTCCCTTCTTGTATCTTCTTCTTGTAACTAACAGAAACAAAATTGTTTATAGATTTGTATCATGGAGAATTTGTCAAACATCAGTTTTCTAATAACAAATGATGGCACTACTAATATTTTCATGACAGATTTCTCTTTGTCCTGTATTGGGATAAATGGTTTTCTGGACACAATGAATCACAGAGCGACCAATAGGCACTGTCAAGTCCAGTAATGGATATCAATTGGCAGGAGTATGAAAGACGTAAAAATAATTAACTATACTACATTAAGAAATTGTATTCAAGCCTCGGTACTACATGAAGCTCATTTTGAAACATCCATCCATCCATTTTCTAACATCCTTGTCCCTCAGTGGGGTCGGGAGGGTTGCTGGTGCCTATCTCCAGCTAACGTTCTGGGCGAGAGGCGGGGGAAACACTGGACAGGTCGCCAGACTGTCGCAGGGCAACACAAAGACACCACACAGGACAAACAACCATGCACACACACACTCACACCTAGGGAGAATTTGGAGAGGCCAATTAACCTGACAGTCATGTTTTGGGAGATGTGGGGGGAACCGGAGCACCCGGAGAAAACCCACGCAAACACGGGGAGAACATGCAAACTCCACACAGACTGCCTCTGTGAAGGTGCAGCGCTAGCCGCTGCACCACCGTGTTGCCCACGTTTTTTCCAATTGGGTTGGGAAGGGATCTATTTTCTAGTTGTTAATGGAGGAGGTGGGGGGACTTGAAGTTTTAAATTTCCTCTTGACGGAGGGTCGCAGGGCGCCCCATTCAGACAGGCAACAACCTCCATCTTTTCTCTAGTCAAAATCAAGAACATTAGATCTGAGTTTTATTACCTTCACTTTTTTGGCTTCTTGAACCCCAGAGAGCTACATATTTTCTTCCAAATTGAAAATTTAGATTTTTTCTTTTTACCATCCATAGCTTTATTATCCAAATCCTCCAGGATGGTTTCTCCTGTGGTCTCGGTCTCTTCGGGTTCCAGATCCGTTGAACAACCAGGCAAAGATTCTGCTAAGAATTCCTTCTCAGAAGAAACCTCTTGTTTTGTATCTTTAATCAGGCCGACCAGGTTCTGTGAATCTTCCTCCTCTTTTAAAACGGTGGTGTTGTTTTTATCTTCTCTGTCTTGAAGCAGTTGATCCTCTTTTGCTTTTCTCAACTCCTCTTTTATGCAACTCATCTCCTGTTGGTATTTTTCTGCTTGTTGTTTTAGTGCAGTGACATCAGTTTCATACCGGTTGTTTTGCTCCAGGTAGAAATCTTTAAATTTCTCCAACTCAGCCTCGATAAGCTTTTCTTTCTCTTCTCTTTCTGAAAGATCAGTTTCCCTCTGCTTTATAATATGCTTGTATGTTTCAGCCTGCTGCTGCAATTCCTTGACATCATTTTCATACTTGATCTTTAGTTCCTTGTATGAAAAGTGGACTTGATCGAGTTCATTAAGAATGTACTTTTCCCTTTTGTTCAGAATTGTGATCTCTCCTGTCATATTTTGTAAGAGCTCCTCCTTTTCAGCTCTCAGGTCATTGATAAGTTTCTGATTCTCCTCAACTGTCTCCAAGTTGGCATATTTCAGCTGGCTAACCTCCTGCTTATATCTTTCTACTTCTCGATTCAGTTCAGAAACATCACTTTCGTACTTGCCGATAAATTCATGGTAGGAATGTTTCATATCATTAAATTTTTTCTGCAAACGTTTCTTATCTCCTTGCAGGAATTGGATTTCTTTGGTTTGGTTTTCCTGGAGAACAGCATTTGTTGCTCTTAGGTTGTCAATCAGTGCCATGTCTTCCTCTGATTTCTTTAGATGGTCTTTTCTCTCCTCAATTATACGTTCCTGTAACACCATAATATCAATTTCATATTTGCACTTTAGCTGCTGATTCCACTTTGCTTTCTCCCTTTCTAACTCTTGCTTGGTCTCTTCCAGCTCTGCCTCCAGGTGGGCCCGTTTCTTGTTGTCTTCACACCGTCCAGCGATCTCAATCTCCAGAAGGGAGCTCAGTTGTTGGATTTCCTCAAGCAAGGCATCGTATGCAGGTGTGAACAGGTCTTCAGGGTTGGAGAGATGGGGCTCCATCTCTCCACTGCCGTATCTTGGGGTATCAGACATTTTCTCTAAAATGCAATTACTAAAATCGTTGATTTTAAACTATCTGAAAGAGCTTTGCGCACGTCTGAATTAGTCAGTGATATTGCAAGCAATGAAAAATATGCAGAATTGTGTTACATACAATTCTGCAGTTTATGACATCACAGACAGCACTGCCAGTGACATCACAGAATCTTCCTTTGCTGGTGGTGTGACATCATTCCACCACCACATATCTCACTCTTTATTCTTGTTTACATTCAAACGTCATGTCATCTTCAGTTCTTTAAAGTTTCTAAAACGTTTTAGAAACCTGCATATGTAAAAGCCTTTAGGTAAAAACTAAAGACTCTTTAGTGTTTGTGAGGCAAAACATTAGAAACTTAATAATCCATATTTATAAAGTAATTTCAAATAATCTATAGTTGGTGATTTGAACCTTAGATATTTGATGGTTTTACTTGGTAACTTCTGTGATGTGTTCACTGAACCAGTTCCCATCATTTCTCTGCACCTGCAGCCTTCAGTCAGACTGAAGGAGGTTTTTGTATGACCATAAATCACTGTGTGAATGCGTTGTTACCATGGTAACCCAGACAGTAATAATCTCCAGTATCTTCAGCCTGAAAACCACTGATGGTTAAAGTGTAATCGGAACCAGATGTACTGCCGCTGAATCTAGATGGAGTTCCTGAGAACCGACTTGAAGCCTGATATATAAGAAGTTTAGAGGCTTTCCAGGTTTCTGCAAGTATCAACTGAGATCAGAACCAATATCCGAACTTCCCTGATGGTCACAGTCGCTCCAACACTGACTGACTTTGATCGTTCAGACTGAGTCAGAAAATTATTGGCAGATGATGCTGAAGAGAGAAATGAGCAACGTTAAAGGAAAACAATAATAAATCTGAGTTCAAACAAAACTTGATAGCTAAATTTAAAAGTCAGTCTGACCCCGAGTGAGAAAACCCAACACAACCATCAGAGCTACTGGAGACCTCATCCTGATGCAGGTTTCAGTGTCGGAGCTCAAACACACTTTGGACTTAAAGCTTGAGGAGCAGCGATGCATCGACATCATGTAAATCCACACCTGCTGAGATGAAACAGGAAACACACAGATGATTCAGCCAACACTTCATCTAGTGACAATATTCAGTTTTTATTTCAACTGAAGATCAAATAATGTATTTATTGGTTGTTCATGTCACATTTATAATGTTTCTATGTCCCCTAAATGTGGTGTTATAAACTAAAACACACAAAATCAGCAAATATTTTACATAAAATAGATCCATACATTGAGCCATATAAGGTTTAAATCTTTGTAATGTAACCTGTATTCATGTTCCAATGATCCTCATTATGTTTCTTCTGGTATGTTAAGGTTATCAAAGAGACTTTGATCTATTTGGATTTGTGATTTAAATATGTGTTTATTATTTATAGTTTAATTTTACACTACAGGATGCAGAACCTTTCTATATTATTATTTTAAATCATATTTTTAATTAATGTTGATATTAAATGTAAAAAGAACAACAACCTGAACACACATTCTGAAGAATATTATAAATTTTGTTTATTTATAAAAGCTGATCAAATTCACATCATTGATGTTCTTCAATAACCACTAAATTAAATAGATTCTTATTATTTTACTTCAAAAGGTGAAACCACATTACAGCTTAAGTTTTAAAGTTTATATTTTAGGATGATACACTTGTAATTGATTGGCCATTCTAGTGTAGAAATGATATTTAATTAGAAGAAACTTGTCTAACATTGTGTTTCTACATTCCTGCTGGATATTTTCTTGCTTATCATAATCCAGACATTTTGCAACGACTTGATTTACAAAAGTTAGAGACGTTTTAGAAAGTGACCATAATGTTTTAATAAAATGATTAAAAACGTGAGCTGTTAATAAAAAGAAGAAGGGATTGTCACTTATTTTTTATTTACAACTTTTGCACTCCCGAACACAAAATAGAAAGATAAAATTAAAGAAGTAAAATATAAACTGACTTTAATATCATTTATTTAAATCCATCAGTTTTACAAATATTGGTGATGTCAGACAAGTTCTACTAATGGCAATAAGATCACAAAAAAAGAATTTCAGGGTTCTGTCATTTGTAATTTGTTTTAAGGCAGTGTGAATGCCAGGCTTTTGAACAACCTGTGAAGAAATGTAAATGTTAAAAAACAAACAAAACAAAAAAAAAATTCAAAATCTCAAATAAGCCATTACACCTTACTTTAAGATCACATGAAAAATTTAAATATGGATTAACAATTTTATTTTTTTTTTCAAATGTGCAAAATTGTACTTTTTGGATAAAATTTTATGTTCCGTTTTAAATAAAGATTGAGGGTAAAGGTTTTAAGGCGCTTTGAAATCTTCCACTGCTTTGAAAGTCACCATGATGATGTACATTTCATTGTATTGAAATCTGTATACTCAATTCTGAAAATGAAATTTGTTCATGGTCAACAGTTCAACAAAGACATACATCCTATTTGCAACACTTTAATTCACGCTACAAATTAACTAAATATCTTACCTTTACACTGGTAGCCAACCCACTTGAATGAAGATCAAGGACCAAAACACTGAGTACACTTCTCCAAAGAAGATAATGTTGTGCACATCAGGTGATGTTTTTGACACTACAAGGAAAAAATTCAACACACACACACACACATATATATAGTATTATTGATATTTATTTAAAGTACATTCTATTCAATATTGGATAATAAATGAGAAAATATTTAAAGAGGGTGCCAGTCATAAAAAAATAACTGATCCTAAAAACTTTTAAATTGTTGAATTAAAAATATTGTATGGTAAAAACATAAAGACAAAATCTGTATGTATGTATATATATATATATATATATATATGTATGTGTGTGTTTTTTTAAGTACTGGCAACATTTAAAATTTTATTCTAATATATTCTGGGATGCCAAGTCAACGTTTGTCAGAAGTCAAACCAATATTAACAACCTCACTAGAACCAAAACAAATGTTTTTATCAATTCAATAACGCCAGGTCCCCATATACAATATGGTCCTCCTGTATCACATTGGGGCAGTTGACCATGAAACACACACATACACTCACTAAACTTACAAACTAAAAACCATGAGATGAGACTGTCCTTACAAACCAGTGTCTTTATAAACCACATGGCATTCAGGTCCACACACAGACACACTTAAATAGAACAGGTTGGCTGACTGACATCATTTAGCTACACATTAATTATAAAATACCTCTGAATTGATGGGGAGTGAATCCAGGACTGAATCTGTCTTGTTTGGGACACTGGTTGTCATCTGATCCTGGTCATTTTCAGCTCTGATCTGAATCAAAAAATAAAATACAAGTCAACACCATATTGCCTTTGACTTATTTACGGAGATATCCTCAATTAAGTAATGGCGCTCTATGAGAGCAAACGCCCATGAAAGGAAACTAGTTTTAAATCCAGCCAAAATGTTTGGTAAAGTCAAAATAAAAACCCAACTTCTGTACCTGTTCTGTGTTGTCAGTTGTAGAAGTTGAATGAGTACAGTCAGGACTTTGAGATATTTCTTTCTCCAACTCCTGTGAAAAAGATAAAAGATTGTCTATTTTTTCCCCACAGAAGATTTTCTGTGATGTAGCAAAGAAAATAGTCTGATGGTTGACTTAATTGTTTCTAATTATGGAAACTGCGTAAATACTATCATACTGTAATTATTAATTATACATTTGTGGGCCATCTATTGTTGTGAAAAGAATGGTAAAACAAAGAAGGTTCCGGTTGTAAATCATCATTATTAGTGCATTTCTTAAGTGAACATTGTCTTAAGATTCATAAATTTTGATTTTTTTTTAGTACCTTGAGTCGCAATGACCAGTCTGAGTCCCCATAATTGTAAGTAATCTCTTCTCCCTGCTTGATAACTTGAGTTGCAAATAAACACAAATGTGGCTTCTGTTGCACCGTTAGATACTTCGTTTTGACATTTGGGCTGATATTGTCATCGTTTATAAGCCTTCCAAGAGAGCCATCTTCTTTTGCTGCATCAACACTGCAAAAATATAACATTGAATTTTAAATATAAACATATTCATTTACATATATGCCATTCTAATTAAACTTCTGACACAAACATACTCACTACAAGAGTTTTCCATGAAAGTAGAATTCAAACAAGAAAACTTTAAGGTTGTCATGGTAAACTTGGTAAAATCTGGAGAATTTGGCTGCATGTGAGGTTATTCAGCTAATTAAGGTACAAATACACATTTAAAAATTGAAGGACGCCTATATTTACCTGAATTTGAGGACTCCTGGTTTACACTTCCAGCATTTAAGTTGAAGTCAGCCAATTGATTACAGTACACAGCTTTAAAGCCATCGGTGCACCTGCCCTATTGCAGCCATTCATTAAAACCTTCAACCATTGGTGCTTTTCCAAAAGATAAACAAGTTTCACAGAAACCTGTGTGTTTACTTCTTATTAATTTCCTGCTTGCTCTTCAGCAGGACCAAAGGCAATCAAGCTTAACGAGCTTAACAAGCAGAACGTCACTACGCAAATAGCTAACATAAAGCAAGCAGTTTGCCAATATTGTTAAATATAATGATAAACCTTAAAGTCTATTACCCAGCTTTTACCACCAAAAGCTAGGTGGTACCTGTTTGGGGTATGGTACCACACAGGTACCATCTACTCCAAACATCGTCAACTTATCAAACACGTTTCGTCTAGCTAGGAGGCTAGCTCTCCTAGCCAAGCTAGTCTCTTACTTTAAAACACTCGGAATAAAAACTATACTGCTTCAGGTAGGTATTTTCAGTCATAAAAGCATACATATCTAAGTTACTTGATGTAAATATCCAAAATAAGTTGGTTAGCTTTCATGTCACCGAAATTAAAATCAAAAATTCATTTTGCTCAAAAATCATTCTTACATTTGCAGTTATTTACTTGTAAATAACTTTTTGTAGGCAAAATTTATTTTTTATTTATCATTAATGCTTACCTGTGCACAGTTATTCCACCAACACGTCCATATTGAGAGCTGTGGCTTCAAGTGAGGATTTAATTTTTTAAAAACCTGGCGTCTGGGACTGTTTGGCAATAAGACACGCCAACAGGTTTTTTCCAGCCAATCAGATGATGACTGGCTAAAAGCGCGCGTAGTGTATGAAAATGTGTGTAAAAGTGCAATTCATACACTGAAATCAGGCGGCGCTGTGTTATACAGTGGAAAACACAAATCTCAGGTCACATGGTATAAAAGGACAATTAAAGAAAGTGAGATATCACGCTGTTTATTCACTGAAAAGTACAAATACATGGTGCACATCATGCAAAAACTGGCATAGTTCCTATAAAACTTTAGATTTATGAGAAAAAGTGTTGTTTAGATACTCAAAATTTAAAATACACTCCTTGATTTATGAGCACATTGGCATTGCCCTTGCATTACCATTAGGTCCATGTAACGCAAGTATGTATTCAGGTCAAAAGGCAGGCTAAACCATGTATACCAACACACACACAAACACACACACACACACACACACACAAGTTGCATACCTGCTGTGAAGAAGCACGCCACAGAGACTGAGGGAAAATAAAACCGGAGAGGAATAAATGCGTTAATCCCTTAAACAGACATGAGCAAACAGAAACAGGATGTTTTGTTGGTTTCAGAATACAAACTAAAGTCCAAGTGGGCGTTTGATTGAGCTTTACTGAACGTCCTTCATCCTAACATGTTTTTTACATGTGTGTCAGCAACTGCTTGAATTGACAAACCAAATTTATGTCATTATTGAATTGTGATCAATGGCCACACACAAAAGGACCAAAAGTAACCCTCGGCCTACACTTTTGACACCCCTGCTCCAATGTTTTTATTACCTAACAGAGAACTGCTTGATCCAGATGATGACGACATGACTGCAGAGCTATCAAGACATAACTTTTAACCTTTAACATTGAGAGGCCGAACAAGGGGATCTTTAGTAGCAGAAGCAGGCAAAAAGCTCCATGGTAACACTGGAGATGCAGCAAAGATTAACGGGCTCAGTTGGGGAAAATCTGGTGACAGGACAATTACTAACTATACATTTCACAAATCTACGTGTAATGGAGGAGTGGAGGGGGCTACAAGCAAATATGTCATGGTGAATATGTCGACCAAAGTACTTGATGAGATAACACCAACTTTGAATGTTTGGAGTACAAAATAAAACTGCAAATCGAACACCCACCAGACTTAAAAGATGGTGATGGCAGTAACATGCTTTAGGGATTCTTTTCTTCAGTTAGAAAGGGGAACTTGCTTTTTGTTGACGGTAAGATGGATGGAACTAAAATATAGGTGAGATTGTCCTGGAGATAATCCAGAACAATGGATATTCATCTGACTGAAGCGTTCTAATGGTTCTGTTAGAACGGTTCAGTCAAAGTGCAGAACTAGATTCAGCTGAGAATCTGTGGCAATACTTTCAAAGTAATCTCCATCCAATCTGGTGTTAAACTGTCTTGCAAAGAAAAAAAGAGCTGCTGAAAACAACTGTAGTAGCTTCAAGACAAACTGCCACATATTACGTACTTTGATTTAGTCTGATTAAAAGTTCAGATCCATTCATGAATACTTGTACTTTGGGTATTTTTCCCCTCATTATGTATTTATGAGTTTTAAAGCACTTTCCTTAAAAGTGCCTTAAAACTTTTACGTTTCACGGCACTTTTTTTGACATGTGAAACAAATTTATGACGTGTTTCAGATGTCATAAAAGTAATTTCATGTTTTCATTTTAATAGCTAGACCGTGGAGACAAGTTTCCTGGAGAAACGGGGAAAAAAAATCTAATTTTGCAAGGGATTTCGTTTATTAATCGAGCAAAAGATGGCTGCTTTTGTATAAGCTTTCGCAACACAAGTACAACAATGCCGAACTTCAGCCTACTTACTGTGGATGAAAAGAAGAGCCTGGAGAATAACACCATCCCTCATGATCATGCTCCTCCTCAACACAAAATTCAAGCCAGTGAATTACCCGTTTGATGATAGTTTGGAAAACAGGTCCTGCTTTGATTTGGTCAGCAACAGCATTTGTCTTAGTTACATTACAGAGTGATGAGGAGCAGCGAAAGAGAACCAAAGCAGGACCGAACCGAACTGCTCTCAGTCGGTAAATGTAACCTGACACTGTCTCAAAATCCCTCCTTCAATCACTTTATTAAAGTGCAATATCTCGTCAGATTCACCCAACTGCAACCTGTTATTTTCCTTGCTTACAAAATATCTTGTTGCTCTTGAAAAAAAAAAAAAAAATCTTTAATGATGCCAAAAATATGCAATGGATGAAAAGTTAGATTGGCTAAATAAGAAGAATAGTAAAAAAAAAAAAAAAAAAAAAAAAAAAAAGGTAAAAATCATTGAAAAATATTTTGTAATGTTTTATGGATTCGGCGTTTATTAAAATAACTTTATTTGACCATTTTATACGCACTAAAACACATAGGGCCAATAGTAAACAACAGTTATATAACCATGTTCGCCACAAAACACGCTATAATTAAAAACGTACCAAACCGTGATTAAACCATAACTTAGCTCAATAGAGACCCCTGGTGCCTGAGTTTTGCAACGACACTGAGCAGACTGTGAAGAATTTAAGTGGTTTTGGTGCCGTGCCAATATGTGACAGTATACACTATTTAAAAAAATAGTAAATAAAAACATAATATGCACAGAGGCATTTTATTCTTACAAGTGTACATGTTCTGAAATAAATTTAATTTTTATTTCAAGCTATACACTCTTCCTTGTTGATATACTATCTTTTCTTGTTGTTTTTGTTGTTTGTAGTCAGTGAGCTTCTAATCGTCTATCCCCTTTTCTGCAGAACACAATTTCTACCATGACTGGCAAATAATTCTATTCTATTCTATTCTATTCTATTCTATTCTATTCTATTCTATTCTATTTTCCTTGGATTTTATTGTGTTCAATGCTATGTGTAACAATTTTCAAATGATTAATTTCTAATTCATCGTTTCAAAATTAGCAACGATGGGTGTCAGACTACAGCCGACACACTATAAATTTTACATAACCTGAAGACTGACTCATTGTGTAAGCGTTTAAATCACTTTTAAATCAGTAAAATGTAGAAGTGAACACCGGAACTTTAGTTTGTGACTCGCTGATGCCCGGTACAGAATTAACGTTGCACCACGAAGCTTCCCCTGAATCAAGCGAACTCATTCAGGCTTTCTGTTTGAAGGTAAACGGCCCCCACAAGTTTAGTTATCGTACTGAGATTCATCGGTTGCCGCAGAAGTACTTATGTGAACATAATTAAACTGAGTTATTTTTTATGTTTGGCATGTTTGATGAATTATAGGCATTAGTTCCCTTTGACGCCTGCGCTCGGTAGCTAACACGCTTGCTCATTGCTAACTTATCAGCCGCTTTCTCGAGCGCATTCAAAACCAGAAGCTTAAAGATATAATTTTCACTGATCTTTAATTACCTTTATGGATCAAATGTGCTTAATAAATGCCTAATATGTGTTCGCAGGCTGAACGTTTAAAGATGTTTTTGACCAGATCGGAATATGATAGGTAAGCGCTGCACAAACTGCTTTGTCATTTATTGAGTGTCTCAGTTGTAAACTAAAAACAAATAAAAGGGCTGTGGTGCTAAGTTTAGCTTTTTTTATATACACATATGGGTAGGCAGCATGACGAAACAAAAACATCCAAAAGGGATTTATTTCTTTGTTTCATATTGAGCGTTGCTGTTTTGGTAGTTAGCTAACAGCTAACTATCCTGTTATAGGTGAAAAAAAGTTACTTTCACTTTCGTTATTGAATTTTTGATCTTCCTTCTAAATTTGACTGGATACATAATTATTATGTTATGGCTTTACAATTGTTTCGACAAAACACCGTTATAGTTAAACACATGGTTTATGAAAACTATTAAGCTTAAATTAACAATTATTAAATGAATCTTTTTTTTTTCCAGAGGTGTAAACACATTCTCACCAGAAGGAAGATTGTTTCAGGTTGAATATGCCATAGAGGCAATAAAGGTGAGTACTTGATGCATAGTTTTTTGGCTTGATCAGAATGGCTTCATTTTGATCAAGTCCTTAGACTGGACATTGGTTATTTAAAGTCAAGCTCATTGCTGATTTTGTTCTCTCAGCTTGGCTCCACCGCCATCGGTATTCAGACATCAGAGGGAGTGTGTCTGGCTGTGGAGAAGAGGATCACCTCTCCGCTCATGGAGCCCAACAGCATTGAGAAGATTGTGGAGATCGATAGTCACATTGGTATAAATATATAATTAAATGGTCTAACTGCTTGGTTATTTTTAAAAATTCTTTCAACCTTTCAAGATCCCTGACAATATTCTACAACAAAATATCAAACTATGGTACGCAGAGAGTGTTTATTTGAAGAGTAGTTAGGCAAGCCACTTGAACGGTAACACAAGTGGAGGAGGAGGAGGAGGACATGAATGTGTATTACTGCTGTGCAGAAAATTAGAAAGATGTAGAGGTGTGTGGTTATGGAAAGATTAGACTAAAATGGCACGTTGAAGTCAATGTTGGGTGTTGAAGGAAGCAAAAAGAAGTCAGAGGATGAGAGTAAGTGCTCGGGCAGCTGTGTTTTGTTTCAATTGAAGTTTGTGTTTGTTGTAAACCGGAGCAGATGAAAGAGTTGGCAGATGAGCACGTTGACACGACCGGCTAACGTTGCATAAATGGGCATCAGATAATGTGACTGACAGACTTTTTCTAAAATTTAAGATGCTGTCAGAAATTAGGCCTTGAGCTCCTAGCTTAGGAAGGAGGAGAGATTAGACGATTTGCGACACAAAAATAATAACTGAAGCAAAACAGAACCGCGGAGCGAGAGGGAGAGAGTGGAACTGGTTTTGTAGAAGATGTGACGATCCAGCGATGTCAACCGATTCTGAAAAGTCTCAGAGAAGTTGCAACCTGGCTCGTAAAGCACAAGTTTTTGAACACAGTCTCTAAAATAATGACAAATTTGATTTAACACGCCTGTTTAACCACGTTGATCTTTAGACAGTGGACATCAAAGTCAGTTTTGTCATCTGTTTATTACCCACCTAACTTCTTGCTGTGTTACATGAAGAGTTAATATTGCTGCTTTAAAAAACAAGCATTCTGCTGGCAAAATTATTTATTTTTTAACTGGAGCTTTAAAATTATATTAATCTGTATCGAGAGCTTGTAAGCGGATCCTCAGTTGATGCTGTGAGGATCCAGATGTGACTTTTTTTTTTTTGTCTTTTCATTCAACTTAAAGGTGACGAGATTATGACATTGTGGTTTGTTTTTAAAATGTGTGTTTGGTTAAAATAAGAGAACTCGGCGGGAGGTATAAACCTAATTATTTTTTAAGCCAAAGTACATTTTTATTGATAACAATAAGTTTTAATGTTTTCACACTGAATTAGAGTGCCATTTTAATTCAGTATCTCATAATTGCTATAACTCTTGCTTTTTAATATTCCACAAAGTAATACTGTAGAAGTTCGATACGGTTTTCTGTTGCAATGGTGAAAGCAAGCAAGAATATTCATCCTTCAATTTCCCGTGTTTTTCTGCACTCCAGGTTGTGCCATGAGTGGTCTAATAGCCGATGCTAAGACTCTGATTGACAAAGCAAGAGTGGAAACGCAGGTATGCATTTTGAGCTCCGGCGTAAGTTCAGTGGGAGTCTCAGCGTGGGGTTTGGATGCTGTTAGCTTGGCTGTGTCTATTGCAGAACCACTGGTTCACCTACAACGAGACGATGACGGTGGAAAGCGTGACTCAGGCCGTGTCCAACCTGGCGCTGCAGTTCGGAGAGGAGGACGCCGACCCCGGGGCCATGGTCAGTCACCTTAACCATCTCTGGATCTTCTTCATTGGGTGCAGATGAGTAAAGCTGCGCAAGTCGTATTTAACTTGTTTTTTTTTTTTTCCTTTGTGTTTTGTTCAGAGCCGACCCTTCGGTGTTGCATTATTGTTCGGGGGAGTGGATGAAAAAGGACCTCAGCTGTAAGTACTGATCATTTTGCAGCCTTTGATCATTTTAACATGAGTCTCTTTATATAACTTTTGTTTGCACTTCATTTCTCTCTCTCTCCTTCCCTTGAAATGCAGGTACCACATGGACCCTTCAGGAACCTTTGTGCAGTGTGACGCCCGGGCTATCGGCTCTGCATCAGAGGGAGCACAAAGCTCTCTGCAAGAGGTTTACCACAAGGTACTGGGGACGTTTTCCTTCCTGCTCGTTAAGTCCTCTTGCATCCTCATACGAGCGAAACGCTAAAAGTTCCAATATGTCTTTTTTTTTTAAATGCATGTGGTGGTAATGAAACATTTCCACTGAACTTTTCTTACATTTTGTCCAGTCTCGACCACAAACGTTCACAGTTTTGTTGTGATTTTATGTGTCAGGACAACACAAAGTAGCACATAACTTTGTGGCAGAAGTAACATCACAGATGGCCTTCAAAATGCTTTAAACATCTAAAAACTGTGGTCAAGTCCTGACTCACTGCCCTCAGTTTACATCTAGCAAAGTACTGTCCATCTTTGTGTAAATGTAAGTTAGGGCTGTGCAAAATCAAGAAAATAAATAATTTCCATACTACTTGTTAAAAAATGGCGTTGATTGTATAAATTGCCATTCATCTTCATTTTGCAGATATTTTGCTCGTAGGCATCTTACCACAGGCCTGATATGATAATATGCAGAGCATGAATGCCTACTTGAAATTTAGTATCCTATCAAATATTGTGTTATAGCAGTCCTTTGCTATAACGGCAACGCACACGCTGATACGGTGGAGACAACTGTGATTTGATATCTTGTCTCAAAGAGCTTCATCTCAGAACCACGGTTTCCCGAGGACAGCATGCCAACACATCCCATCAAAACCAGGTCATCCATTTAAACAGATGAAATGTTGAGGATCAGATTAATCTGAAGAAGCAGAGAAGCGGCCTAAGATAGTTATGGCGGATCGGTAGAAATCCATAATTCAGCTGGTTGAATCTGTAGCCTTCATGGAAGAGCGGCTGGAAGAAAGACAATGTTGACTGAAAACCAAAAAAAAAAAAAAAAAAGAGTCTCATTTACAGTTTGCTGCAAGCCATGTCCAACACAGCAATTATTCACTACTTTTATCTGTCACGCAAAGTTCCAGTAAAATACTTTTTTGTGGTATTTGACACGGTTAGTGGGTGCGAATACGTTTTGTTTATCGTTTGCATATTTAGTCCAGGAGAGGGGTTGATCTTTGTCTTATGATTATTAAATCTTCTGCATTTTGAAACAGAATATTTCAATCTTCAGCGGCGACGTTCTGCTGTAGTTGCTGACCACTGAAGCTTTTTCTTCTCCTGCAGTCCATGACATTAAAAGACGCCATCAAGTCCTCTCTGACCATCCTGAAGCAGGTGATGGAGGAGAAGCTCAACGCCACCAATATTGAGGTTTGTTCCTGAATCCAAAGCTCAGTTACAGTTACGTTGCTGTGATGTTGGCCACTGTGGGAGCCCACTTTATTTGTCTCTTTCAGCTGGCCACAGTAGAGCCCGGCAAGACCTTCCACATGTACACCAAAGAGGAGCTGGAGGACGTAATCAAGGACATCTAGAGGAGAGAACTCTTGATGGGAGTTCTGGGCTGAAAAGAAGGGGGGGGACACTTTGGTGTCGCTACGTAACCACAACTTTCCAACCCACCTGCAGCATTCAGAGTTTCTTTTAGGAGGCTTCTTATTTGTAATGTGCTAAATTGCCTCTTGTCTAAACAGTGTGTGATTGCCTCTTTCCAGGAGCGTGACCAGCACTTACAGCTGAATGAGGGGAGGGGGTTAAACGTGGGGTCGGGAGGGATATCTTTTGTTACGGATCAATACTATAATAAAAACTGTTGTATTCAGAAAGTCACTGACTGGTTTTTTTTGTGTTGTTATTGTTTCAAGCAGCAGGGATTAAATGAACACGTTTAATTTGATTAAATACAAAGCAGTGGTTAATAGGTGACAGTCAGTCACCTATTAACCATTGTATGTCTGAGTAATAAAGTCAGTACTCAGACATACAACATTTATTAGGATCCCCATTAGCAGTCGCCGTGACAAAGGCTGCTCTTCCTAATGTCCAAATCATTGATCTCTTGCCAAAAGGGTTACAGTTCTGTTTGTGACCAAACTTCATACTAACTCTGCAAGTTGCTAGGAGCTTCAAACTGATCTGTCCAGATAAAATGAAAATTAGACAAGGGCTTGTTTAGGATTCCCATCAAAGTTAAACATTTTCAATGGCTACTTTAACTCTATGTCATGTTGAAGAGTGACAATGTTCATCACGGGGCTGGGGAAAGTCAAATGAACCGTCACGGAGATGCTTTCTTCCCCCAGGCTGTCCGGTTAACAGCCCCAAAGTGTCCAGATCAATGTCCACTAATTATTTGACCACGTGTAGTGGAACATTTTATCTATTTTAGGCTAGTATCTCATGACTGTGTTTATAAACCTTCTTAAACTTGTCTTTCTCTTTAAAAAAAAAAAAAGCTCAACTTATTTCTCAACAAATGTCATATTTAAAATATATTTGGGTGTGTGTGTTCACGTTAGTAGTTATGGTAAACAAAAATTTGAAACAAAAAATAGAGCTTTTTAATAGAGATAGAAAATGATCATTTTATCCCTATTAGATTGGTTTGATCTTATATTTGTGGATATTAATTGTATGCTCCAAGATGTCTTGGTGCTTAGAGATGGTATTTTGAATAAGGTCAGCTTATTCCAAATTGGAACATAAACAAATGAATGTATTGAAATATCTCTTATTATTTTGCAGAGAGCAATTTTCTTATTTGCGTCCGATTCACACATCAAATTATATTATAATAAAATGTGCTGAAATTGTCTGCTTATTTTTAAACATCTTATAGTCTACCTAAAAAAAAAAAAAAAAAAGATTGCTGTTTTGATTTACATGAGAGTGTGTTCCAAGGATTCATAAACTTATTTTCCACTCGCCAGTTTGATAGTAAAAATATTCATGTTGTGTAATCCCATTTCTTCCGGCCCTTTATAGTTTCTTGGAACGCAAACAGATTCACAGAATAAATCCTTTAATGAAGGTTATTTGCGGGCTTTCCACCAGGGGGCAGTGTAACGCTAAAAAACAAATCTTCCCTCTGGTCGAGCTCTCGTCCAATTAGATTGCAGGTCTTTCTGGGCCTAACCAATCCCGCGCGGCGGTGGATGGGCCGTTATTAAGAATGCTTTCGGAGATGAGGGGCGGGGGGAACATGTGAAGAAGCCAAGTGGTGGGACAGCGGAGTTTGCTCGCAGTGTCCCAGGCTGTGCGGTGCCAGTTTTTGTTTTGTAACCGTAATGATCGTCTGCATTTTGGCGCTCGGGTTGTTTTCGTCTGCGCTGGGCAGACATCTGCAGGATGGAAGCGACTTGTCCCGGGTCAGGAGGCTGCACGGAGAGCCCGGTGATGCTGCGGAGCGACATGGCTTGGAGAGGAGGGAGCTGTCGAGGCGCAGCGCTGGACTGAATGAGCAGACATGCACGGCTTTGCGTGGTGGAGTGGAATCCGCGCTGCAAAACAGCACCAGCATTGTAAGTGACTGTAAACCAGCAGGGATCGGTTTATTATCGCCGAATAAGTGAAAAGAATCTGGTTAAACAGTTGGTGAAGTCACGCAAATACACCGTGCTTCTCCTAAATCACTTGTAACAAGCTTGTAAACTGTCTGGTTAGACAGCCTGTTGCTACTTTAGGAGACTGGTGAATCGGTGCAACGTGAATTCGTCAGTTTCTTCCCTGGAATTATGTACCACAAAAAATGATGGAAAGGAAATATTCTTGAACAAAATCCTGTTTCTAGTCAGTTTATTTAAAGTTGTGTGATATCAAGTAACAATCTCAGCTGCACCTGTCAGATATAAAATGTTCAATACTGTCATGTCCACTGTCTCTAACCATTTTATTTGCCACAACTACAACATCATTGTCTTGCAAAAATACTCACACTTCTTGAATTTTTCCACATTCTCTCATACCCACAAATGTAATGGTGTTTTATTGGCACCTTATGTGATGGCTCCACTAAAGGTAGCATACAATTGTGAAGTGGAAGGAAAATGTATAACTAGTGCCCATCTGTGTGTAATTTAATTGCAGTATAGATGCAGTGGTTTTGTGAAGACCTCAGAGGTTTGTTAGAGGCCAATAAGGAACTTAATGACGACCGAGGATCACAGTTTACAGGATAAGCTGGCGAGATGCGTGAAGGAAGCACCGTTTTAATCAGTCATATAAAGAATGAACCACAGGAGAATTTGTTAATTGGGCAATTGTTAATTGCTCATTTTTGCAAATGTGGAGAGAAGAAAAACATTGTTTAAAGAAAGTCGTGAAAAAGGCCTGTTCACTCCACAAGTCGTTCAGGTCACACATGCAACTTCTGGCCAGATGAGACCAAACTAGAACATCTTGGCCAAAATATGTGCAAAAAAAAACAAAAAAAACAAAACATGCAAAAATGCTGCATGGACGTTTCCCTGAACACACTCGGCAGCATCAGAGGACGTTTGTCTTTTGCACTGACAATCCTGGGTAAGCAGGATAGGATATTGTTGCTGGGAAGGTAGGTGGAGCAAGAACATATAGTGGACACTGGTCTCTATGTGCACTGGATGGGAAGAGTCGGAGGTGCAAGAGCAACAAAGTGCGGTTACGCAAAAGGAGGCTCAATACGAATGCACACCACACTTTTCAGTTATTAGTAAAACATTTTCAGTTTTGTAGGTCTGTCACACAAAATCATTGAAGTTGGGTGGGTGTAACTTGATGAAATGAAAAAAATAAAAAAAACGAACAGGTTTGCATACTTTGGCAAAATGCTTATTTTTTTCCCCTGACTGATCCCAGTAACGGTCAGTGCAGTTTAGGAGGAAAGAAGAGTCATTTCCAAGTGGAAATTCTTTAACAAGCAGAATCAAATTTGAATTGGCCACACGTAGAGACGCAGAGCCTGCTTGGACAGAGAAACTGTAATTTGAAGAGTAATTTTTACCCAGAGCTGTCAGACAAATGTAGTGGAGAGAAATAGCTGAATAATTCCTGTTTAGACAGGGAGATAAATGAAGCAGAAAACCCACAAAACAAAACAAAACAAAACAAACAAAAAAAGCGAGAACGCAAATTCGTCCAACCAACTCGACTTAGAATTCGGAATACTTCTTATATTTAGAAATACTTCTCTCCTAGGTTTCTTGAAGTTTAAAGGAAATAAAAAGTCAGGAAGAGGCACTTTGCAACACAAATGTTTCCAGTTTATATACAGATATATATGTTCAAATGCGTTAGATCATATCGGGCTGATTTAATCTTAATTGCATATATTCCAATTTGAGCTTATCTATGAAACAGTGGAGTCAAGTTCAGTTTATTATGGCATTCATTTTGCATCATAATCACCATGCACGTGGAAACAGTAGAAAGGAAAACATCCCTTTAACAGGCAAGTTAAAGGGGAGATGGATGCTCACCAGTATAAACTATCCCTTAAATGATTCCTTTTGAAATAGTTACTGAATAACTCGACTAATAATTTAGCCGGTTCGCAAACCGATGGATGTGGTTTTTAGCCGGTGTGCACGAAGCTGATTGGAAACAAGAAAAAACTGGCACTAGGAGGCAAGAGAAGTTGGTGTTCAATGCAGGAAGCATGAGTGTCCATTGGTCAGAATTAATGTTGATACCTTTTCTGTCGTAGTCTTTGTCTAATCGATTTAGACAAATGTAGGTCGTCAGTTCGGGTCAGTTTCACTAACTCCGCTGACGCAGGTTGGAGCGAGGATCTAACCTGCGGTTTTTGCAAACTGTCGATTTTTAGGATATTAAATCTCAGGGCATCAGTGAAGTTTTAGTTGTTTTTTTTTTTTTCGATTTCACACATATCAAAGATTTACTTGTAACTGTAGTCTTGCTTGGAGTGATATTTTTTGAAATGTATCTCCTATTGGTTCAGTTTTCTCCTATTCCTTTATCCTTATCCTTAAGCAGACAACAGAATCTGTTTTCGCCGCGTCACTGCCGTAATCGAGGGCACGATAAGGGGAATGCGCAGCAATAACAACTTTATCCGAAGCTGTTTGAGGTCTCACAGCTCAGTCTTCGTTCTGTTGTGTGTGAAATGGCAGATGTTACATCATTCCTGCGGTTCAAACACCTGGGTTAACTTCTGCGCATGAAACCGATTCAGCGTGCTCACAGAGATCAGACTCTCGGCTCCTCAGGGCCTCTGGAACCCTCCCAGACATTCCCCTTCTTTTTTTTTTTGTTGTTTGCTGAGCTTGATCCGATCTTCTCTGCCGACCAACGTCTGGTCTGTGGTCATCAGATCTGCCGTATAGATTACTGTTTGCACCAGCAGGTATCCTCACCTGGCTCTGCCTCTTGCTCATTTTCCGCAGCTTACACCCTGATAAATTGCTCTCCATGTTTTGACAGCCAGCCCAAGCGCTGGAGTGTTTATTTGAGTTTTATTTCGCTGACTCACACAGGTTTCAAGCTAGCCGGTTGTGTTTTTGTTCCGTCTTCTTGTTTTGGGCTCCATCCTGCTCTCTGGTTCTTTGGCAAAAAAAACAAAAAAAACAAACAAAGAAAACAGAAAAAGAAAATACAAGCTGGGTCACAGCAGAAAAGGAGCAGATGATGTTCCACAAGGGAAGTGGAGGGAGAATGACCTGGACAGCAAGGGTCAGTAATTCTAATTTTATTTTTTATTCCATCAAAGGTAGATTAAAATTACAAGAATTATTTTCATTTGTAAAACATGATTTGTTATTAAGGAATGTGAACTTTTTTAATGGAGAATAATACACTCTTGTGGAGCTCAAAAACCTTTTTTTTTTCCAGTAGATCAATTATTCTTTATTACAACGGGTCTCAAAAGTTTACTGATCGCTACTAGATGCCAAATTTTTGTGTCTTAAGTAAAAGAGAGCTGTGCTGCTTAGTCATTTCATTTTCCACCTTCAATTTGACAAATGCAACTTTTTCCTTAAGTAATTTGCCGATATGCCTGAGCATCCCAGTCTTAATCCATAGTGTTCAATGGCACTATGGCTTTTGCTGTCTGCTGTAGCGATTAGGAAGATTTTCCAGAAAGCATAGGAGTGCTTTTATAGGAATTTACCATTTTTCTAGAAGTGCATTTGTGAGGTCAGACCCTAATGTTGCACAGGAAGACCTGACTAACAGCTCCTGCTGTATTCGGGGCTTGATTTGTGTTTCGGTGCACAGTCACGTTGGGAGGAAGCCCCACGCCTTCCAGCTTGGGGAAGAGGCCAGTTATTATATTATTATTTTATTAACTCTTAACGCCTGCCACATGGAGCGAATTTTAATGAACTTCAGTTCAAATTAATTACAGTTGTATTCATTTTACTTCACTTGGGCATGTCTTAATTGAGTTCTAATTAGTTCAGTTTCACTGAACTTTATTCAGTTCAAATCTGTGCAGTAAAAAACTATTTGATTAATTCTGAAAGTGAAATAGATGTTGTAGGAGCTGCCATTTTCTCAGTTTCTATATGTTTAAGACTCATTATAGATGTTTCTGACTGGGAAGGGAGGATCTCCTTTACAGGTTTGTTACAACAGCAGATCCAAGGAACTCTGACTGAAGACTTGTTGTTGGAGGACTTTGTTGTGCAGAAGATGTTCAGGGTTGTCTGTCAAACTTTTCATATTAATGAACCATTTCTATCCAACATGGAGTGAGTTCTAGCTTTAAGTTTCTGGCCCTGACATTGACCCCAATAGATGACTGTCGATGATTTTTCTCGTTTCTCAGCAGAACGAAAGAAGATAATGAGCATCTTGCTTCAATTACTGAAGGATCTATAAGCTTCCTTGAGGAATACTCTCTGCTATGTCCTTTCATGTCACATTTTGTCACATTGATGAAGTGTGACACAAAGTATCTCTGGTTTTTTTTTCTCTCTCTTTTGACATATAAGCGGGGTTTAGTGAACTTGGATTGTTTGCGTTACATTGGGATTGGTTGGGTCCTAATGCACATCCAATGAGGCACTGGACGTGGTGTTGGTGTTGTGGTGTTGTGTTGCACGTGCAGTGTCAGTGCTGGTTGTAGAGAGGTTTTTGTCTGGTATTCAGTCTTGGGGACTGACCATCGAGGGTTTGAAGAAGTGACAGTGTGGCACCATGGCTGGTGTTGCCTTTGTACCTACCGGGGGGGGGGGCAAAGGATATTTTGCCCCTCTCCTTTGATGGGATGGCCACCCTGTATCCCCAGTTTGCTCCCCAGTTGAGTTGCTTTGGGTTGTTTTCAGATAGCGTTACATGAGTGTCGCCTTAATGGCACCATGGGTGTTGTTTCTTGGGCCAGATGTGGCACCCTGGATTACAATTGCTGCTTGCTACTTGCAATAGACACCTTCAGTTCTTTGAGTCTTGTTTTATTTCCATTTTTTTTATTTATCCTCTTTTCTTCCTGTCTTTCTTGCTGTTGAATGTGTTTTTCGTATCTGCCAAGTTTATCTCTGTTGTGGCCTGTCCACTTTGTTGCTTGAATCGGATTTGTTGTGCCATTAAGTCAGTAAATGCAGTCGTGCAGTGAAAAGGATATCTTACGCTCCTGCAGCAGAGCAGTTCTGATCTGACACAGCCATGCAATCAGATCCACCATATTCTTTTCATGAGCTATCTGGAAAGGACACACACACACACACACACACACACAAGAAATCATTACATAAATAAATCTAATACACATACAAGATATTCGGAGATACAAAAGCAGTGCAATATTCCAGATAACATAACGCTGACATTTGGCTCAAGATCAAGATATTTTGTTCATGGACATCAGATATTGAATCTTTTATGTCAGAGTGACTTTATTTCTGATAAGCCGACTGAATTAAGTGTTGTGCCACATCAGTGACCGAATTAATTATTACTGTTACTGTTATTTTAACCATTAGTCACATTTCTAAGTTTCATCATTCTGCCCCTTATGTCATACTTCACCATTATAAGTGCAAACAAGAAAAGCTAGGCTAGCTGTGGCTAATTTGTTTACAATCCAAAACATCAAATTGGATTCCTGAAAATTGACTCTTGGGGTATAAAAAAAAAAAAAAAAAGCTGCCAACTTCGGCAACAGAATTACTAACACCTGTGGTATTTCTCAGCTAAACACAATGAGTCATGATGTAATTCTTACACAGTAACGACTAAAGCCGGTGCTGCCATCCTTCTGTCCTCATTTCAAAACATGGCCTGTTGTTGTGATGAGCTTCTATTCTCTCACCGTTTTTCTGGGTGTACACAGCTTTGAGTGTTTAGATCAGAGACTTAAAGCTTGACCTCTTCTTCTGAAGTTTTGTGTGTAAACAGGGCTAAAGTCGAACGTTAAGGCCCAGCGCAGAGGGAATAAGGACTTCATTGTATTGGCATCCCGACCTCTCTGAGAGGACGTCACCCACATTCGGGGCCGTTCGCCTTCATGCCGACTGTGGAAGTCTGCGAAGGCATATGTGCGTGTGTTTTTTTTTCTAGTCGCTGTTTCTTGGTCGCTGATCAAACGCCGCTGTCCATGTCGGAAAAGCTCAAAGCTGAACGCCCGGTGTCAAGAGTGAAGCTGCAGATAAAGGGTTGGAGAGGCTTTTGAGGAGCAGATCTAGACTGCATTCATCATGTGGTGCAGCAGCATGAGGTCACGTCTGTACTGAGACCTCATGTAGGGACATCTCCTGATTTTAGCTTCTTGCTAAGACAATGGCTTGGTAGTTCTCAGTAAATCTACTTTATCTGCTACGTTATATGCTCATCATCATTTACTAAAAACAGATTGCTCAGTCGGCGAGTTGTTCAGTGACCTACGATCATCCAGTCTGATTTGGTCCAGCTGGATTTTCAGAGGGTCAGATATAGATGCAGTGTCTTTCACATTTGTCACATTGCAAAATATAAAAGGCATAATATTTTGGGGGGCATTTTACGCAACTAAAGAAGATAGTGAATAATTGTAAAGTGGAGGGAAAATGGTAGGTACAATTTTTTATTTATTTTTTTTACAGTAGCAAGCCTGAAAAGCGTGGATTGTGTGCTTGCATTCATCCCTCTTCATACCCCAAAATCCAGTGGGACCAAAACCAACCAAGAGTTTCAGATTTTACCTAATCTGACCTTGTGCTTATAAGGATCTTCAAAATTTGATGGAAAATTGCATAAGATTTTAGAAGAGCTATGGATTCAACACGTTCGAATGACACGCAACTTTTCATGAAGTGTGCGATGAAAAACAGTTTCAAATGATCAAATTATGCATAACATTAATAGAACTATGTTACTTAATGCATTTTTGCCAAACAGTAGCAGAAATTTCCACCCCTAATTCTAATGAAGTACAGTGCTTCATTTGTAACTATCAGATGAAAAGACTGTCAGCATTGAGCCAGGTCCTGGTTGGTTGTTAGAAAAGTGTGTGGTTTCTCTGGAACTTGTTAAGGGACATAAATGCAAATATAAGAGTGGGTCGTATGCATGATATTGACCTTGGAATTAAAAACAAAACAAAATAAAAAAAAAAATCCACTAAATTTAAACTTACGAACCAAAATCTTGTGTTCCATAAACTTTCCACTATGGAAAAAGCTCAGATCAATTAGATCTTTAAAAGCCCTGAACTGATCGACTTAATCCTTGTACGTACCCTTCCGATTAACGCTTTAGCTTTAACTCAAACTCCAGATTCAACTAGGCCTCGGAGATGTGTGAATGCCACCGACTAAATTTGATTTCATGTAGGAGTTTCAAGAGCCGCGTATAGCAGTGTCACTGAACCAACAAAAACCGGCACCGCTACGGTTGCCAGCTCTTTAGCTGATCAAAAATAGGGAAAACAGAACAGATGGACGATGGGGAGAGTGTTGTGGGATGATTTATGCAGAGGAGACTGAAATTTGTGTTTGCAGAGTTGGACAGAAGAGAGCAGGCCGGTTTCCTTTTGGGCCTGTTTACAAGGAATTTTTCAGCTCACAGACAACAGACCATGCAATCTTCTGCAGATTTACAGAGCTTTGCAGAACTCCCCCTGAGCCTGCACGTACCTTGTAAACATGCGCGCCTCATCAGCTGATGAGCGAAGGGAGGGAAAAATAACAAAAAACAAAATAAACCTTGCTGCATTCCGAACAGTGTGAGACAAGGCCTTAAAACCCACATGCGTTAGAGCCACAGCGGACGAATGGATGAGAATGTTGTTTCCAGTCGCAGCACTTGTTTTGAAATCAAAACAAGGCTCTAAACTCTCTCTCTCTCTCTCCCTCTCTCTCCACCGCTTCTAGTATTATGTCACAGCTGGTTTTTTCCATGTTTTTTGTTTTTTTTAATATAATTTTACCTAAAATCCTCAGTTGGTTGAGAAATGCATTTAAAAGCATGCTAACGCTAACAGTTACATTTTTATTTTGAATGAATGAATTTGAGTGGAGTCTGTTCAGCTCTAACGTATGTTAGGTGTCCTCGGCAGTTGCTTTGTTGTCTGACCTAATCTTTGTGATTTACACAGGAATGTAGGTCACACATGCAGAGTGCGTCCAAAATGGCGGAGTTACTTTGGACAGTGTGGACATTCTGTCCTCTCAGCTGGTGTGTCCGCTGCACAAAGAAACAACAGGAACGCTCTCAAACCATGTTTAGTCTACATTTACCTTTTGGGGGTTGGTTCATGTTTTAAAGCCAAAATAGTGTTAAGCAAATTCCATCGGCATATTTTACCTTGTTCTCTGTCGACTTGTTCCGCGTGAAGATTGCTTCATCTTCTCAGTCTCGTCTCTTCTTGTTTCAGTATCCGTTCAAAGTGCGCTCAATGGGCTCACTCTCGCTCGCCTGGGTGGGAGACGGATCAGGGGTGAGTTTTGTTCGCGTGTCTATACACTGGTTTGCAATGTATTCAGGTGCGTTTAACTTTCCGACCAAATGTGACGTGGATTTCTTACTTAGCTCTCTTTGCTTCTAAATAAAGTCCAGGGCAACCAGGAGTGCCTTAATTAGAAAATGCACGTGTTTGTGTTTGAATTTAATCTCAGCGCAATTGCTGAAATTAAAAGCTGTTCTGTGGTATAGTGGTATCTGTGGTGTAGTAAAGTGGTATAAATAAAAGCCATTTGATGAGTTAGAAAGGCCTAGTCAAATTTGAGACACAAATCCAGTTAAGGATTTATAGCAAAATATGAAGATTGTTATTTCCCATTCAGTCTGTTTGAACTTAAAGTATATTGCAAAGATGGAAAATTAAATTCAATACAGATGCATTCCACACTTTTCAGATTTTTATTAGAAGAAAATGCTTGAACCATGCGTTATTTTCATTCTCCTCAATCCTCTCCTACTTCGGGTCTGTCTTCTTGAATTCCTGAATAAAATATTTTGAGATTTACACACTATATTTAGGTGTATCTATCTATATAAAGTGTACGTATATGAGAGCTGTTGTGCAACACTTTTCTTCACAGGTGCTCTTGGTTCTGACAACGTTTCAGGTGCCGTTGTTCTTAATGCGATTTGGCCAGTCTAACCTCTACAGGAGGTGAGGAATGGCTTCTTTTAACAAAGACGGATTAGTCGTGTTTTAAGGTTGCCGTGTTCTGTGCGTCTGAACCAGGACTTCTGTGTGTGTGTGTGTGTGTGTGTGTGTCAGTGAAGACTATGGGAAGACGTTCACAGACGTGACTAACGTGATCAACCACACTTTCATCCAGACGGAGTTTGGCATCGCCATCAGTCCGGATCATTCAGGAAAGGTGAGGCCTCCGTTAAGAGCCGCTGTTGCATCTTGTATTGTGTCTTTATTTTTTATTTTTTGTAATATATGTTTTTTTTTTAATCATTAAGTCATTTTTGTTTGGATTCAGGTGATCCTGACTGGCGATGTGTCTGAGTTCGGTGGGTTTCGACTTTTTCGCTCGCGGGACTTTGGTCTGACCTTTGAACCGACGGACCTGCCGTTTGTGCCCCTCATTCAGATGCTGTACAACCCCGGGGACTGCAACACACTTCTGACACTCAGTATCACGGTAGCGGCACTCCGTTTTGCCAAGAATGTTGAGTTTTAGTGGAGCTTAACTGGACCTCCCCGACTCTGCTGCTTACTCTTCAGGAGCCGGTCATTTTACTCCTGATCCACATTATTTATGACTAAATTTTTTTTTTTTTTTTTTTTTTTTTTGCTTCCTTTCCAGCTGGACCTGTGGCTGTCTGATAACTTTGGCGCCACCTGGAGGAAAATACACAACAGCGTGTGTTTGGTCAGATGGTGAGAGTTTCTCTCAGAATATTTTCTAGTATCAGCTGCTGAAGTTTCACCTACATTAAGAACATTTTAAATAGTAAATTACATAAAACATGTTACTGAAATAGGCCTAATAAATGAAAGGGAAAGAACAGATGGCTAGCCTCCTGACAGACATAGCTGTATCTGAGCTGTGGTGTTTTGACGTGGACCATATGGGCAGTTGCCCAGGGTGACATTAGAAAGGGAGGAGGATGAGCAACAGATTAAAAAAAATAATATAACTTATCCGTCATCATGTTATCTTGTCTTGTTCAACAGAAGGCCTGCTGTTTTAACAGCTCTAATCTTATCTAAATTACTAAACCATGACATGAGAAGTGTTTTGGAAACTACCAAAAGTGTTACAAGGTTGAACTTGTGAAGGAGCGAGCACTTTTCCGAGCCTTTTTTTTTTTGACTCAGTCAGTTTCAGACAGATAAAAATATAACATTTGATATGCAGATTTTTATCCTTGCTAACAAAAAGTAAAACAATCAAATGCAACAGTAAGCAATAAATGATTACAAAATTTCATTTGATATTATAAGAAAAAGTCCAACAGAGTATAAAAATATGAATTATGAACAAAACATCAAAAGTAATTTGGGGGTGGGGAGGCGAAAGTTTTCCAAATACAGATATTAAACACTTTTACTTTTATAACTCAAACATTTTAAAATGTTACTTAATTTCATTTCCAGAAAAATAAAAGGTTTTATGACACCTGTTGATCCTGCGAATATTTATTCTACGTTTAATTCTCAGAAATGTAGAGAGTAAAAAAATAAAAAAATCACAAAGTTTACTGCTCTGTTGGGGAAAACAAGTCATGGCGTTTTACTGCTTCAAAAAAAAAACAAAAACACATTTAAATCATCTTTTGGCTCTAGAGTTCATTGCTAAGAACTGGTAAAGTAATACATTTAGAGTATTGCCACAGTTGCTGACCGAAATAAAGTGATGACCAACAGATTTTCGTCATGTTTGCGCAGTGCAGACTGCTTGTTCGTGCCCTGGCGGTCTCCACGCTCGCCGTCGCTTTTTCTGCAAGATGAACGAGCGTCGTTTTTTTTGTTCATTGTTTTCCCAGCTGTTCTCCTCTGCCTCGCTGTTCACATGGCTTTCCTGACTCTGTGCTCTTTTCTGATTAATCGGCCCACGGTTGCTTATCTGCGCAGCCACCACAGTCATTTTGGGCCCGAGCCTTTCACCGACCACAAAGAGCAGAAGCTGATGTGGTTCTCAGGCTGAATCACGACTCGGGAATGTGTCTCCTATTCAGCCTGCTGTCCTTGATCCAGCTGCAGTGTAAAAAAAAAAAAAAAAAAAGTCATCCTTGTCTGAAAGCAAAAGCTTGGAGTGCTGGCTGGGAGGATAAAACGAGTGCATTAATAAAGCCATCATATTTTTATTTTTTTTTTAACCTTTAAACTAGGAAAGTACTTTTTTTTTTTTAAATTATATTCAGGCTTTCTTCTGTTTCTCCTTCTCTTGTTTCAGGGGTCCAAGAAACAGCATCTACATAACAACCAACACCAACGGATCATGCAGTAAGATAGGATGATACGGTGTTGTATATTAACATGTAATTCAGTCCAATTATTATTATTTTTTTAAAATAATTCATTTTCCTTTCAGATGACAAAGGGATGCTAGATTTAAAGAAAACAATGGACTACGGCAAAACATTTCACACAATTGCATCCAGAGTTTACTCCTTTGTCCTTGGAGGAAAATTTGTCTTTTCGTCCATCATGACCGGGATGGTATGTGTGTCTTTTATTTATTTATTTATTTATTTAATTTTTTGGCTCATCATTGTTTTCCTTCATGGAAACTAAGCAAAGGTTTGTAAAGTACCCAGTCAACTGAGAACTTTCCAAGCTGCTTTTGCGCCGTCCTAGACATTACGTCGGATAAAATTTGCTAGTGCACCTTAAATCAGGCATGTCACGTGTGTTTTTTTTTGTGCGTTAGGGTACAGAGCGTGTGATCCATGTCTCTGTAGACGGCGGGGATCACTGGAACATCGCTCAGCTTCCTGCTGTCGGCAATCAGCAGTTTTACTCCATCCTCGCAGCCAATCAGGACATGATCTTCATGCACGTGGATGACCCCGGAGGTCAGCGTTAGTGAGCCATGCATTGTGCCGATCGAGTCTAGAGATGTCGACCGTGTCTCTGATTTCTGATCGTTCAGATAGCGCATAAGCCCTCACCCACAGGCAAAGAAAGATTCCTGAAAATCAGAGCAGCTTTCTGTAAGGATCCACTGGTGGGTCGCAGTGTAGAGCACAGACCTTAACGCTGTGTGTTTGTGTGTGTGTGTTTCATGTCCTGTCTGGGGGCAGACTCGGGGGTTGGAACCATCTACGTGTCGGACGACAGAGGAACTGTCTTCTCTAAGTCACTGGAGCGCCATCTCTACACAACCACAGGAAGCGACACAGACTTCACCGCCGTTTCTTCCCTGCGGGGCGTCTACATGACCAGCATACTCTCAGAGGGTGGGTCAACATGAACCTAATGTTATTTTCACTGAGGGAAAAAATCCCCCAAAAAAGGACAAACTCATCTTAAACCGTGGCTGTGCTCACACAGCAGGCAAATGCAACCCACATCCCACTTTTTCTAGGCTGCATTTATATTTAAAATGCCTTAATGGGGTTTCATATTTTTTATTTTCTCGGCTGAGGATCTGCTGTGTGACACAGCTGGTTTGGCGCTTTTATGTCCTTGTGGCAGATGGCAACATAGAGACAGTGATCACGTACGACCAGGGAGCCAAGTGGCAGCCGCTGCGCAGACCCCAGAACGCCGACTGCGACGCTGAGACCTCCACCAACAGACCCAGCAGAGTGAGACGAGCTCCCGTCGCTTTGCGGATGAAGTGTCGTGAAGTTGCGTGTTTTTTTTTTTTTGATGAAAGTGGGGGGTTTTCAGTGCTCCTCGTCTCAATGTTACAGTGCAGGCTTCACATATATGCCTCGTACAGCACGGCCAAGAAGATGAACGTTCCCATGCTGCCGCTCTCGCAGCCCAACGCAGTGGGTCTCATCTTGGCTCACGGTAGGACAGGAAAACACACAAACATCCTTCCGTCTGCTCTGAACTGTCTGCTGAATTGTTCTTCTTGCCGCCTCCTGTTCCCTCTCTCCAGGCAGCGTTGGAGACTCGGAGTCTGATCTCGCCCCTGACGTGTACGTGTCTGACGACGGGGGCTACTCGTGGCTGCGCGCTCTGAAGGGTCCCCATCACTACGCCATCCTGGACTCTGGAGGACTGCTGGTTGCCGTGGAGCACACCAACTCACCTATCAACCAGATAAAGTGAGATTGTATCTCTAGGTTTTACCGTATTTTATTTTGTTTATGTTTTGGGTTTTCGTAGCCCAGATGTTATGAGCAAGCTTTAGTCTGATGCCCTTAAGTAATTAGGACTATTTTTGACCTTTCGAGTAAAGAGGGCTGAATATAAATGGACGCCACACTTTTAAGAATCACATTTGCGGGGAAATTTGACAAATTTCCTTTGTCTTCCTCTCTCATATAACATTTCAATAAAACACATGGAAGTTCTTGGTTGTAATTAAAAAAAAAACAAAACACAAATTCACAAATTGAATGCCTTGCAGGGTGCTACAACTTCTCCCTGCTCCCCTTCAGGTTCTCCACAGATGAAGGCCAATGCTGGCATTCGTATAACTTCACCAGCGACCCGCTGCACTTCAGCGGCATGGACAGCGAGCCCGGCTCCCGCTCCATGAACGTCAGCCTGTGGGGCTACAGGAACGACTACACCAAGTGGGTGGTGATCACCATAGACTTTAGGAAGCTCCTCGCCAGGGACTGTGAGTACCGTTGAAGGAACACACACGTGTGATGTTGGATTGCAATGCATGAGGGCAGGTGCGCTTCAGCTCAGGGGCGTCTGTCGCCGTGCAGGCAATGAAGGGGACTACGAAGAGTGGCTGGCTCACTCTGCAGACCTCAGTGGCTCGAGCGATGGCTGCGTGATGGGCTTCAGAGAGACCTTCTTACGCCTGAGGAAAGACTCGGTGTGCTGGAATGGAAGAGACTTCGCCGTTACCAAGAAGCACTTGCCCTGTCCGTGCTCAGCGGCAGATTACCATTGGTTTGTCCTTCTCTCCTGTTATCCCCTTGGTAAAATTGAAATGTACAAAAATAATTTTAAGTTTCCATATAGAATATTCCTGTAAAAAAAAAAAAAATTAAAAAAAAAAAAAAAAAAAAAAAAAAAAAAAAAAAAAATATATATATATATATATATATATATATATATATATATATATATATATATATATATATACATATATATATATATATATACAGGAAAATTGTGTCACGTTTTTATCAATCTAATAGGAACGAAGATGATTATATGTTGCACTCTTTAAAGTCCTGAGCTAAAGAAGTACAGGACCCTCAATAATTGAAATCCTTGGTAAAACTTGCAAAGATGTGTTCAAATATATTGACCTGTTTATCACAGTGGGGTTTTTTTTTATTTTATTTGATCCAAATTTTAATTCACGTAGATTTAATCAAAGGGAGAGAAAACAATTTTTATGATCAAACTATGCCTCTGTTACTCCTAAAACAAACAAAACATTTCTTTTATTTCTATGTAACTTATATCAAAGGCCATCAGAGAGTCTTCTAGTCAGAGAAGCGTTTGAGTAACAATTCATGGCTTCCTATTTCCTTGGGAGTGTAAATAAAACGTGACAGAGGTTGGCTTCTCTCATCCACTTTACAAAATGAGGAAAACCACATGTACTGTCACAAACAATGTACAAAATAAACATGTTTCATAGCAGCGGCAAAATGTCCGGATGAAAATAAGATAACAATAATCCAAACCATGTCTCGTGTTTATTTCAGTGGCAGAAAAGTTCAGTGTTGCAAAAGTAATTGTTAACAAATTTATCTGTGCCTAAATGACCCCTCTATAAAAATATTTATAGATTTTTTTCTTTACTTTTTTTTTTTTTCCAAGTTGATTAGAGTTGTTTTGCAACTTTCCAGATAAACTTGCTGTTTTCTGTGGTGTGTGAATATGAAGTGACACAGAGGCTTATTTCTCTTAGACTGTATGTAGAATACAAACTCAGGAGAACATGCCGGTCTATAAAAATGTAAAATAAATGTACATGAAGTATTTTCTCAGTTTTCAAAGTCAAATAATTGCCTCTAGAAAATCTTAATTAGTAATCTGTGACTTTGTTTTGCCATGGTTTTAAATACTTTGATTTTCATAAGTGAGGAAAGGTTTTAGATGTCACCTTCTGCAGAACGCCGTCCGTATTCACTTTATTTTATTTGTGACTCGTTAAACATGGGGCACAAAAACCTTTCGCCCGCAGCGACTTTGGTTACTACCGGCCGGAGAACAGGTCGGAGTGCGTGGAGCAGAAGGAGCTGGTGGGTCACGCTCTGGAGTTCTGCTTGAACGGGACGACTGAGCAGCTGCAGACCAGTGGGTGAGTAGGCTGGTCACACTTTCAAATGCATTCAAATCCTGATGTTTCACCTCAGGATTTATTGCATTGTTGAATCATATTTCTTTGCGTGCATTTTAGATGTTACTTTATTCAGCTATTCAACAGCTTGTTAATTCACACATACATTTTCTAAGCAGACTGGATGTATACATAGAAAAAAAAGTTGAAATGTCTTTACTGGTGACATGATCACGACCATAAGCTTAGAAAACGTTCTGTTTTGTTTTTATCGCCTAATCCATGTATGCGACGTTTATCTCCAAATTTAAGTTACCGGAAGATTCCTGGGAACCAGTGTGAAGGAGGCTTTCAGCCGGAGAGAAAGGAGACCGACTTAAGGAGGTTGTGCATCAGTGACGCCCTTCATTCCATCCCTCTGGTCAGTTTATCTCGGTCTTAGAAAGCAAGCTGACTGCATTAGCTAAATGGAAGTGCAGCTTCTCTTTTGACTTCTCCCTTAAAAGAAAGAAACAAAAAGATTTTAAACTGTGACTTCCATGGCTAGATGAGGACCCAAGTTTACTTTACAGAGCAAGGAGGGTCAGGGATGTAAAAGAAAAAGCCCGCTGTTTGAGAGCTGCAGAAAAGAGTGGCATCTTCTGGTCACACAGTTTCCATAACAACAATTTATTCTAGGATTTCTCTTTGATCTGGGTTCGATTCCCGGCCCGGGTCTTTCTGCATGGAGTTTGCATGTTCTCCCTGTGCATGCGTGGGTTTTCTCCGGGTACTCTGGTTTCCTCCCACAGTCCAAAAAACATGACTCAGGTTAATTGGCCTCTCCAAATTGTCCCTAGGTGTGTGTGTGTGTGTGTGTGTGTGTGTGTGTGTGTGTGTGTGTGTGTGTGTGTGTGTGTGTGTGTGTGTGTGTGTGTGTGTGTGTGGGTGTGGGGAGAGGGTGATGTGGTGGAGAGCTAGCTTA